GCCTTACTCGCGGCTGTAAGTGGGCGCGACCGATCTACGACAGACAATCTCGAAATTCTGCACAAATAATCCGTGCGCGTTGCATTCTCGTCGTTGTTCTTGTATTCGCGCCAAATGACAGCTTTATTAGGCGCGATTGATTTGGAGCTTCGTTGAAAAACCAATTATTTTATTATATAAATTATATTCAAATTATATATTTTATTTTTTAGTATTCCATCTATATTCGTTGAGAATAACTTTTGAGTTTTCGTAATATTAATTGTTAAACGAATTTATCGTTAAATTAATTTTAATATAACTAGATTATTTATTTATTACATTCATACAGAGAAAGGAGGATTTATTTTTATTCGTTGAAAAACCAATTATTTTATTATATAAGTTATATTCAAATTATATATTTAATTTTGTAGTATTCCATCTATATTCGTTGAGAATAACTTTTGAGTTTTTGTAATATTTGTTAAACGAATTGTTAAACTAGATTATTTATTTATTACGTTATTTTTATTCGTTGAAAAACCAATTAATTATATAAGTTATATTCGTAGTATTCCATCTATATTCGTTGAGAATAACTTTTGAGTTTTCGTAATATTAATTGTTAAACATTTATCGTTAAATTAATTTTAATATAACTAGATTATTTAGAGAAAGGAGGATTTATTTTTATTCGTTGAAAAACCAATTATTTTATTATATAAGTTATATTCAAATTATATATTTAATTTTGTAGTATTCCATCTATATTCGTTGAGAATAACTTTTGAGTTTTGTAATATTAATTGTTAAACGAATTTATCGTTAAATTAATTTTAATATAACTAGATTATTTATTTATTACATTCATACAGAGAAAGGAGGATTTATTTTTATTCGTTGAAAAACCAATTATTTTATTATATAAGTTATATTCAAATTATATATTTAATTTTGTAGTATTCCATCTATATTCGTTGAGAATAACTTTTGAGTTTTCGTAATATTAATTGTTAAACGAATTTATCGTTAAATTAATTTTAATATAACTAGATTATTTATTTATTACATTCATACAGAGAAAGGAGGATTTATTTTTATTCGTTGAAAAACCAATTATTTTATTATATAAGTTATATTCAAATTATATATTTAATTTTGTAGTATTCCATCTATATTCGTTGAGAATAACTTTTGAGTTTTCGTAATATTAATTGTTAAACAAATTTATCGTTAAATTAATTTTAATATAACTAGATTATTTATTCACTACATCTATACAGAGAAAGGAGGATTTCGTTTGCTAAATAATTAATAGTACAGTTAACAGTACTTGCAATATCAATGTGACGATCAAAGATAAGTTTGAAGCATCAGATTATTCGTCGGACCAGGTCTTTCGATGGAAGGCGTTAATTAACTAAAATCAGGTTCGGATAATCGAATTAATCTCCGGAGCCACAACGAGAGAGGATTAGGCGTCTACCGAAATACTAATCCATTTGTTATACACCAGCGGCAGTAAAATCTATCTGCTCGGGCGCGCTTCTAGAACGTTGTTATTTTAGGTGATATCTGAGAGTATCGTTGAGGAAACGCGCGAGAGCTGTGGGGTCGTCGTCGTCGCGCAGGTTGTGGGTCGAGCCTTAGCGAGGGAAGCGCCCGAGGACCCTCGAAGGTAATCTTGGCTCGTTCGCGGAGGGTTGCATTTTGATCCCTGGAGCTTCCGCCGTGGCACGATCTCTCCGCGCCACCACTGCGTCCGGGCTCGTGCATTTACTATAATTAGAACTCCCTAATTAACGAGCAAACGTCGCACGGGGCTGTCGTAATCTCGGGCTTGACCTTCCACCGTCGTTTAGACGCCTTTTCTCGCCCCGCGTTTTAATCCGCTTTTCTCTTCTCTTTCCCTGTCTGCGCCCCCTCGCGGAAGATCAAGAAAAAGTGGAGGCTGCGCGCGGTACTAAAATTTCTTTCGCTCTTTTTTATTTTGAGATTAGAACAACCGCGGTGTGCGTTTGTTCGGCGATTATCCAAAAGAACTTGAACTTCAATTTTTTATATTTTGTCTGTATAAAAGACTGTATTTCAGAATAAATGTTTGGGACTATTGGAGATTTATTTTTTGGAATAATAAGGAAGACTCATCTTTTGGAATAAATGTAAGATGTGATCTTTTGCGAGTCGTGATAAAGTTTTGAAATAAATATTTCTAGCTGATCCTCTCTCGCGTTCGGCAGCGGTGTCCTTTAAAGTTCGTGCACGAGAAATGATAACACGGCGAACGTTTGTTCCCACTACATTCGTGATCACGATGTCAACCCCTGACACTCGTGCCACGCGAAATACCCCTTTCCCGTGGGACGAGTTGTTTTTAAAATAACTTTAAAACATTGAGTAAACACCACGTCGGCGCGTGTGACCATATTGTGTAAAAATTAAAAAATAAGCTTTCTAAGCTACCACTCTCTGACAGGTCTAGCTCGTTAAAGGGAGGGTGGTCTCTTTGTTGAGCGTGGGCTGAGAAACGAAAAAATAAATCGAGATCGATGGGTAATGTTCTATAGTATATTGTTCCATTTATTTAAACACCAATAAGGTTTTTATGATATGAGATTTTATTTCAAATTTACTTTGGACATACAGTTAAAGTAAATATATAAAGACAAAAGAATTCGATATACATGTATGAATTGACATAAATTTATTTAGAAAATAAATGTGTCAAGAGTTAAATATATTATAAAATGGAGATGTCAAAGATTCTCTAAAGAAGAAAATTCGATTTAAAACATAAAAAATATCATGTACAATAGTATTTGCTAGTAAAAATATTAACATTTTTCTCTCTATCGAGTATCATTTTGTTATGTGCTATAAAATTGTCACGTGTATTCTAATAAAATTATTTCATATAATAATTAGAGTACGTATGTATATATGATTTAATAATTTGAGAAGCGATATAAATTAAAAAATGGAAAATTACATATGACGTCTGGTTAATTTAGAGTGTCGCTGCTTATTATTCACTATGTCATTTGCGGCTTCTATTTAACTGAAATGACGGCGGAAGAACGGATCCGAAAGGAACGATAAAACCCGACGGGTGGTGCCAGTGTGCACCGCGCTGATAAATATAACGTAACAAGTTCAGTGGAATAACAGCTTCATCCCGGAGGGATCAATGCGACTTTGCTTCGACTTTCACGCAGAATTTCCTTCTGGAAAAGTGTACGCGTGAAAGAATCGAATAGATAGAGTGAAGTCAGTCTAAGCATGGTTTTCACGACAGTATAGCATTATCATGTATCATTGTTTATGTCATTACCTATATAGATGTAGAATATCTTTAAAGATACTCTGCCAATTAAAATCGATTCTTAAATCTTTAATGCTTGAAATATATTTACATAAAATTGGGTGGCCATTTCTTTTAATATTATCAGCCGATCCAATGTAATTTTTGATCAGTTGAATTACAGAATAAGCACTAATGAATTCTTTGCGCAGCTTCTACCGAGTACAAATTTGGTTGTTGTTGTGATGTTATACGAATAACGCGCAACTGATGCTTTTTATCTACATTGATTGTGTTCCAAGGGATAAATGGCTAGCGACCGTTAATTTGCAATAACGAAGAAACCTTCCATTTCCTTAACGGGGGCGGCAAAACCACACGACCGTAAAAAGTAAATTAAATAAGAATTAAATACAAATAAAACCGCTCAGCCAAGTAATTGGCTGGTAACCTCGCTCGTTGCCTGACGACCGTCTGAGATCGTTCTACCCTTATACCATCCCTCTATGTCTCTCTCTTTCTCTCTCTTTCTCTTCCTCTCGCCCTTCGTCGCTAGATCGGGAAAGGAAAAGGATCCGCGTCAATAGACACGCGCCGCGACGTAATCCGCAGAAAAATTACTATCTTCGGGGCTGCCGAGTTTACGATTAACGAAAACAATCGCTACAGCGTATCTAAGCGACTTTATATATAAATTATGATTAATCCGAGCTAATATTATCGTACATAATATTAATTCGGATGAATAAAACTGGATCTACGATAATATAATAAATCCGCTAATTTAAAAAGAGTGCGAAATAATGGAGGAAAGCGGAGCGCGCGAAAATTTATCACGTCGTGAGGTTTGTCACAAAGTGTTTTAAAGAAGCTGGGAGAACGGGGTCACACACGGAGATACAGGAAGGGTGACATGCAACGTCTCATAGTCGAGGTAGAGTTTTCGAAGCGGTTGGCGGGGCAATCATGGCCGGATTAGACGTATGTATAAGGATACCGTGTGCTGCCTACTCTCTCTCTCTATCTAGCTCTCTGTGTCTGACGGAGAGAGGGATGTCGGAGGGTTGCGAGCCGGGTCAAACGGGTCGCAAGATAGACGTCTGCGCGCGGGATGAGAAGCATAAATGATATTCCATGAGGAGCATATGCGTGCGGAGATGGCTCCTCCTCCCCCACGTGGCAAGGGTGGCTCCGCTGTCATCCCGCTGGCAGCGGGGCGCTGGTTTATTACAAACAAGGATTACCCGGGTAATGGGACATTCTGTCCCTTCGGTTCGCTGCCGAGTCGAGGCGAGCCGAGTAGTGAGAAACTCGGTTTCGTGCGCACTGACTCACTCCTATATCCGTCCAACTCGCTCTGTCGATCCGCCTGCGCAGCCTCGGACTGTCAAAGGGGCGACTGGGAGATCTTTGATAGCGATAGCCAAGGCGGATTTGCGAAGCACCCGAGTGCCACCGAGTAAATTTGTCGACACAATCAGATAAGCGTGGATAGGGTAATCGCGGAAGTAATTGCAACAATCGACGCGATCTCGTTGTACAAACGTCTTCGTGGTAGATATTAGGAATCTTGACGTGGACGAATTTGGTATTGAAGCGTCCCAAAAGCGCAAATCTCGGCAGATTATGCCGATAGCGATAATGGTATTTGTAAAAGCGGGGACTTTGTTCGGCGAATGGCAGCGTGCCCCCGCTCAAACACTATCTAAATCCGTGTTTAAATACTGTAAAAAGTTCCGTCGATTTTGCGACTGTATCCGGGATTCGATTGGTCCATATGAGGACCTTCGATATTTAATTTCACGCTGCTCGGATGAATTCTACGCGGCAAAGTTGGCCCGCTGTGACACCTCGATTTATCCGCCGATAAAGGTGCCCGAACGATCGATTTAAGTTCCTCGTCCGAATGACCGCTCACGTGCATCGGTCTATCCGGTTTAGGCGGCTTCGGGGAAATCTAAAAATGTGCATCGATTTTATTTTTCATCGAATTTTTTATCAAAGTTTTCGCAATACGATTATACATTATATACCTTAATCTCGTTTCTCATGACGCGCCAAGTTTCCTTGCCGAGCGTTTCCGGTTGCATAGGCACGTACAGCTTTGACACTAGACTGTCTCGACTGTGAGTATAAACGCTGTTTAGCGCTAAATCGAGAGCGTCGTCCGGAACCTGTAAGGATATTCGCGCGTATAGAATAGACACAAAAAGTCGCGATGAAATACAAAAAGTAGCCTAATGTCAAACCTGCGGTCTGATGAATCTGCGATCCCTGCGGATGCTGTTCAGGGTATGATGAGCGAAAAGACGCTCGTGGGCGCTCAACTTGACGTTCCAGTTTCTATCCGACGGCGAGACTTTATCTCCCAACACGGGTCCGCGTGATATCCATGCTCCCTCCCGGGAGACATCCGGCACAGGATAAGGATTCCGTACGTAGAATGCCTGCGCCATGTTATAGCGCGACCTACCAACACTATTTGAGAATATGTACGAGTCAATTTTCTGGTCGAAACATTTTACAGCACTGTCGGGAATCAAAGTAAAGTTGGAAAGTATCTTGTGTCAACGAATCGTTTGATTAATTCATCGTGAAGTATGCAAGAATATCGGTCGGTTATTCCTATGTTTTAGAAATTTATGTGCAAATTAATTTTTATTCTATTCTGTTTGATTTATTTTTATTATTTTACTTTATTCTGAATTAATTTAATATTTTTATTTTTCAAAATATTTTTCGAATTGATCGAAGCAAAAGCGTTTGTTATGCTCCCTTTCATACGAGCGATTGTCCCGTTGCTCTTTTTAATTTCCCGTAAATCCTTAGCAAACAATATCAATCCGTTCGGGACTCAAGAGGCTGTATCCGGTCTCTGCTTCTTCGGGATTAAGGCACGACTTTGCCGTGGCTTTTGCCGAAGAGCAACACTCGAGAGGGAGAGAGCCGACTTGCGTGGATTCCGATACTCATTCATAAACGAGAACGATCTTAATTCATACGAACGGCCTGCATCGCATCACTCTCCACTTATCGTTCTTCGCCTTCGCGATGTACTCTGGTCTTTTCTAAGGATGAAGCGCTCAAAGCTTCCCGAAGTCATTTTACGGACATGCTTTCGCGCTGTGAAAGAGCTTGCTGTGAAATTCGGTCGAGAGACTTTTCTCGAATTCCCACGCGTTTCTTTTCTATTTGTTCAAATTTAATTGGTCAATTGATCGATCCGTATTCTGTAGACTGTAGACAGACGAATTTTTTTTGTAACAGTGAGATACGAATCGATCTCCGCAGTTTTCTTTTGCAAAGAAAGAGTAAAAATAAAACATGACATGGAAAATAAATCTGAAACCGCTTGAATGTTGCAGTTCCAATTTTGGTACGGGTTTCTTCGTCAAATGAAATAATTTTCTCTGTGATTTCTCCGTATTAGAATCCAGTGTTTGCTGTTATCTAAATAAAATTATATAGATGATCATCTTATCTTTATATAGATAATAAAAATATATATTATCTATACCTGTGCATCTTACATGAAAAAAAGTATTATCTTTACTAAATTGTCTAGAATAATTTTCAGATAATTTTGGTTTAGAATCATAGCACATAAAATACTTAAATAGTAAAACTTAAGCAGTAAGCGATAAAAATTAATAAATAAAAATATGAATACATATATTTTTATATCCTTTTATAATTTATATTTTTTTTATAACTGTGTTTATATAAGCAGTCATAAAAATTATTATCTAGATCAATTTTATCTTTTATCTAGATATATTTGAAACAAAATCATCTTATCTAAGATGACTTACGATATTTTTATCTCATCTTTATCTAGCTAATTTTAAAATCATCCAAGTACACATTGCTAGTATATCTTATCGAAACAATATTGTTGCAATTTCTACATCTCGGATATGTTTGAGGAATCTCTCGAACGATTCGAAGAATCTCGCTCGCATTCATCGGCTTCTCCCCGTGTTTAACGTGTTGTGCTCAGGAGGTGGTCGGTCAGGGCCAACGTTGACGTCCAATATTAAACCCGCGGTAATTTATGTTAGCGCGAGCGTGCATAATGCTGTTTGTATAAAGCGCTACCGCCACGTGTCGACTCGTGCCGACTCGTACGTATCACTCCCTCCTGTGCTTGTTCTTTAATTCCCGCCGCACTGCGTAGGCGACGCGCAGAATCCCGGCGAGTACCCATGCCATTCCAAATGCATCCTTACACCTCGAATTCTGAGGCGCGCGAGAAGAGAAAATAACATCCCGCGCGTTAATGAAAATTCTTACATTCTTATCTTAAATAACACATTTCTCGTCAGAGCAAAGCAGAGAGCGACACAATTTCGAAACTTTTCTCAGCATCTCCAGCACGTTTAATATATATATATACGAACCGTATAGACGTTTGATTCTTGAATAATCGTAATCCTCGCATTAGCTAAATAAATGTCGGACGGGACGAAAAACTCTGCGGCGCCCTTTTATTTTCCCGCGGGCAGATGCGCGCTTATTATTATTACGCAATCGTAGGATCCCTCTTCTCGCGGAGGGTTGGAGAAGAAGGGTCCACGAATCATCTTCCGCGTCATTGCTTGTTCGACCTCTCCTTCGGGGCATCAGCCCGGGCTACACGACGACACGCGTAATCGCGTAATCGCGTAATCGTGGCGCGTGCTGAAGTTCGGGTTGCGGGAGCTTTGCGTGCGTCTACACTGGCGCACGTGCGACGTAGCACATCCTGAATCAACAGCGATCGCGAATCGCACAGATCTATTCGTGAACGTCAAACGGACGCGTCCATCCAAACGTCGGCGAATCCGTTTTACGAGAGATAATCGGCGCAACGACCTGGAATCGGATTATCGCCGACTATCATAAGCGCATCAAGTGTGCTCCGACCGAAATGACGACGCTAATTAAGCAAAATGTGATCGCGGAAATTACCCGACCCCGTAATTTCGCATATTTTTTCGAACCGACGAGTCGACCAATTGATTTACGTGAATTTTCATCAATATGTTTTACATTGTGACACCCCACGCGATAGGAGATTATTTTATAATTTGGATGTTTAACTTATATATTTTTATCATTTTTATTTATAACATATATATACAGATTCATTTAAATACTCAGATAAAAATATTTAACTCGATACTATATATTTTTGATTGGAAAAATAAGGGTGCCACGTGGATGAGTAAAAACTATAAAGACAACGAATAGTATATATTTTCCTGTCTTATCGTTGTATCGCGGGTTTATTTTGTAGGAATGACCGAGTTTCCGCGGCCGTGTCGAGATTCCGCTTCCCTTTAAATCCTAATCCGGTAATATCCTCGGGCCGATATACCGGCATCGGTAATGGAATCGCGCATTCAAATGGACATCGTTTCCCACCGACGGCGGCGATGACGGTGGCAGGAGGCAGGTCGCGGTAAGGGACAATGCCGGGGGATGATATTGCCAATATTTGGCTTGATTCTGGTGCGAATGTGTTCGACTGTGTGCCGAGGGGCTGCGCACCGTTCTCGCACCCCCTTGAACCGGGGGTTGGATAGGGCGCGTCGGTGTACATTAGACGCGCGAGCCGATTACCATTTGAATCGTCCCTACCGGCGGTCAGCCATTGTCAGGCCTCGTGACACTGACCGCACCTACCTATCTATCTAAGGGCGAGATCCACCTACCCTTCCCTCAGTCGCCCCCCTTTTTGTCGACGACCGTCTGTTCCGCGATAATGCCGCGCCGAAGAAAAGGAGAGTCGTCGAGATTCGTTTATATACACGTACACATACACACACACACATACACGTTTCTTACACTCTCTTCATTTTTTTCCACGATCATTTCGACATTGGGTGTCTCCCATTTGAGAGATAGATCGATGAATGATTCGGGAGAAAAAAAAGGGAATCGGTCCAACTGGTGGCGCGAATAGTTGGTTCTTGGCCGAGAGAAGATGGACGCTTCTAATCGATTGAGTCCAAGGGGCGTTTCGACGCCCGGCGCGCTTCCCTTTGTTTCCTCGCGATCTGACATATTTGTCGTTTCGCCGGTGTTGTGCTTCAACAGCGACAGATGATGATGACAAAAGTCGGGAAAGACTACACGCGCGGTTTTGTCGGAAAACATCCAAACGACACGCCCCGTCGCAAGCGTGGATCTAGGGTAACAATTTTCAATGTGTGTCATCAAAAATTGCGAAACAAAAAATGTATCTTTGGGTTTTGTAAGTAGATTGTTCAATGTTTCACAACTCTGCAATCTTGATAATTTTAGTTCTTTATTCATTTTATTATTATCCTAATTAATACAGCACGTATATAATTACGGATAATTAAACATGTGTATACTAATTTTTTTAATATTTATTAGATCCTCCAAACAGACATATAAATAATTTTATCGAACAAAATTGCGAAACAAAAAATGTATCTTTGGGTTTTGTAAGTAGATTGTTCAATGTTTCACAACTCTGCAATCTTGATAATTTTAGTTCTTTATTAATTTCATTATACGAACACGTATAATTACGGATAATTAAATATGTGTATATCAATTTTATTTCAAACAGATATATAAATAATTTTATTGAATACAGGACTATAAGATATAAGAATTAAGATTCACGGTGGATTGTGAAACGCGTTGTGTAGTAAGAGATTAAATCTGATCACGGTCGAGAAAAAAAGCTTTCGCGACGATTTTTTCGCAGATAAATTAGAACTAGTTTCCACGGTGCGGATGGTCCGTGACCCTCCGCCGTGTAGAATAATGTCTTACACCCTGCGTGACCGATGCGACGAAACGAATAGGGCGGATGAGGCGACAGTGCGACAGGTGGCCCGTGAAATCAGTGCACGAGCGCGCAGTTTTCCACGACCCTCGTTCGACGCGCTTCATTAGGAAGTTAAGTGCATAATAATTAGAATCGGGGCACCGATAGCTGACGTTTAAACGCTCAGTCATACAATCTCCACCTTTAAATCAATCTAATTTATGCGTGATTTAAAATGACTATTGGTAAAACAAATGCTTTTTATATATTTATTAAAAAATGATAATATATATATATATATTTTTTTTTTTATTTGTCGAGAAAAAATATTTTTATTAAAAGAATAAATTTATATATTATATTTATATATATATATATATATATATATATTCTTTTAATATATTTTCATATATATATATATATATATATATATGTAATATCATAATATAAATACATAAATAATGAATGTAGTAACTTATTATATCGCGCGAAATTCTTGTTGAAAAAAATACTGTCATGGAAAACTCGAAATAGTCAAGCATAGTATTATCGTTGAGAAAAATCGACTTCTCTCGCGTTCATCGAAGAGTTCGCGCGTAAAATATTTTTCGGTAAGTACGGAACATTCTGTATACAATGCTCGTGCACAATTTGCATACCGATGATCGA